GATTTTACAAAAAATGATTTAGGCTGCAGGATGAGAACTAGTGCTCTTCCATCTCTGTCTTGCACTTCCACCTGCCTCACTTCTTGTTTGGTCAAGTGTCAATGGGTAAAGGGATTTTTAATTCATTGCAAATAGTTCAAACAGTCCATTGAAAGCAATGATACTGAAACTTCTGTGTTCCAGGGCCTTATGTTCACCTCTTTGGAATCCACTTGAGGTTCTACATAAACATGTATCCCTAGCCTAAGCAAATGTTTGTGCTGCGGTGAGATGTGCTGGTAACTAGTATTGTTGGCATCACTTCATGACTCGCTCGACCCAGATAGTCTTTCCCGGTTCTCAGAGCTGCTTACACAAGTTCCGTTTCTGTGGAAAGGGGGGGGGGGGGGGGGGATTAATTAGCCCTGGTCCCTCTGGCCTCAGGAAATCGGTATTCCCAATTCCAGGGTGGATTTGTAGCATTCCGTCTTCTTCTTCTATTGCCGTTTAAATAAAAGATGACAAATTATCAGCTACAGTGCCTTACCATTTTTTTTCCTAAATCCCATCTGATACATACAAATGTATGTAAGTTTTTACTGTATTTTAAAAAATAGTTTGAGCTAGGGCTGCAAAATGAATCTAGAATCTAGATTTAATCTAATCAAGAGTACAATACTCAGCTAACACACTTACATTGATTCCAACAGATTGACATTAGCATGTTGCTGTGATAGCAGGTTGGAAAGGTGCTACAAATATTTTTCACTGCATGCCTTTAGTAAATCCTGACAGTAGTTTTTTTAACTCCTGTTAATAAATCTGGCCCTAGAATTTGCAAATGAAAATCTTACCGATACTTTTTGGACGACATCAACTGACATGAAGTGGCAAAAAGCAGCTGCTGCTAAGACTCCATATTTAAAGTCCAAAGAGTTGATATCAAGGATGCACAAAACAAACAACAACTAAAACAAACAACAACAATAAAAATCATATTAAATCATTCAAATCAAATCTTAAGTTTCAAATGTCAAGACAAATTCTCTTTTTTTTTTATTAGACAATTTAATAGACAATTTTTGAATTAATTATGAACTATTTTTATTGATAGTTTTCGGTGCTAAATGAAATACATATATGTAGATGTGGGTATAAGTGGCTGGGACATGCCCTATCAATGTGAAGTGGCTCTTGAACATTCTTTACCAACATTTCTGTCAAAGTTTTGAATGCAGTATTGCAGGTAATATAATAAATGTATGTTTCCGTTTCAATTAAAGTCATCTATCTTTATTTATCTTTATAGATGAAGTTAACAGATACTAGGAACTTTGTCTAGCATGTGACGGTGTGCGAGTTTAGCAATGCCTGACATGTTTGCTATGGCTGTAGGCACAAACAGTGGGATTTTCTGAAATTAGCAAAATCTCTGTTTCTGTCCCAAATGGCACACTTCATGTGCACTTGCGGTCCTGTGGACTTACAATGGCCGCTGCGTGCGCATGTTCATTAAGTCCACGAGACCATAGGGTGTCACATTCGTCATTTAGCTTTCAGAAGGGTGCTCATGTGCGCCCACTTTGTGGCCTCTATGCGCCCTCGATGCACACTTCTGCCGAGCCCACACTGACGCTAGCTCCACAGCAGACTTCTTCCCCACAGTCAAAGCAGCATTAAACTATGAAAGTGTGGACTCAGAGGAAGACCTCGAGGGTTAAAGGTGCGATTTGGGAAAGGGCCTTTGAGGTCTTTAAGTCTATACTAACAAGCTGATGAGTTGAATCAGGTGTGTTTGATTAGGGAAATGTCTAAAACGTCCAGTGTTGGGGGCTCCATAGTCTCACATAGCCAGACTGAAGGCAGAAGGTCTGGGAATCATGGCTGCTTTGAAGGACTGCCCAAGAGGCCATATAACTGACAGGTAAAGCAACCGATAATGTTTTGTTTTGTGCTCTGTCATGTAGGGGGTTTGGCGTCACAGCATCTTTGTTTCCAGGCAGAATGTTTAAGAACCCAATACGCACGTCTCCTGGAAATTCTGTAGAATTCACCCAATCAGATGATGACTTTGAAACTCCTGAAGTGTTTCCAATTTTGTGTGCCATATGCATCAGACATCCGGCCAGCGGTCCGTGGGCGTGAAGTCTGAGGCTGAGACTAGGGGCTCCAGGACCTGGATTGGGAACCACTGCTCTATGAGATGTTAGAACTGTCTGTCTTGGCTGCCTTTATTTCAGTCCTCCACTGACTGTAGTCACTTGCTCTTCTCCACTTTCAAGGGAGGGTGTTCAGCATCTCAAACAAGTCTATTTTAAAGCTTGTTGCAATGCATTCTGGGATTGCCATTTAATAATAATAATAATAATAATAAAATAAATGAATAAATGAAATAAAATACATAAAATAAAATAAATAAATAAATAAATAACATAAACTTCTAAAGTGATGGTAAACCTGTCACAAAATTGATCAATTTAGATTAAAAACAAAATAAACTATAGACTTTTTTTTTTTTTTAGTATGCAAGATTCTTTGGTTAAAAATAACAAAAATAAGTTATTGAGCTAGTACAAACAAAAATCTGTGTTCAAAACTGTCTCCGATATGATTGGTCAGTTTTCCTGTCATTTGAAATTACTCTCTCATTGACTTACTATTGCTTGGCCCTCTGTAGCTGTGCCACCAATCACAGAGATGAAAATGTAGGTGGAAGAAATCTGATAGGGAGAAAAAGGGTCTTTCATTTAACCTTTCACATTCCAACACAAACTGAATAGGCAGATTTGAAGGGTTTATTTCCTTAAAAAAGATTTAGATGTTTATTGTCAAATTATGAATTCCTAAAATAACAGAACTAATGACATTTTATAAAAAAGTTTTATTCTTTAAAAGTTTTTAAATATATATACTTGTATATATTACAATAATTTAGGCCCTCTCTGAGGTTTAGGCCCTCTTGATATTATTTAAAAGTTATATATATATACATACATACATACATACATACATACATATATATATATATATATAGTTATTTAGGTAACACTTTAGAATAGGGAACACATATTCACAATCAATTAAGAGTTTTCCCTCAATCAACTCCCAATTCACTGCTTATTAATAGTTAGTAATGTAGTTGTTAAGTGTAGATGTGGGGTATTTAAGGATTAAGGGATCTAAAATATGGTTATGCAGAATAAGGCATTAATATGTGCTAATAAATATATTACTAATAAACAGCCAATATGCTAGTAATATGCATGCTAATAAGCAGCTAGTTAATAGTGAGAATTGGTCCTTTAAATAAAGTGTTACCGTTATTTATTCACTTATTCTTTTTTTTCTGAAATCAGATTGGATTTATTCTGACTGAAGAAAATTTGTATATTAATAAACATACCTATTGAGTCAAAACAACAGTAGAAGACAGTTACCTGCTCAAAATACATTTATTAATATTATTCATTCATTTTATTTTATTTTATTTATTTATTTTTTTATATTGTGTCATTTCTTATAGTATGTCATTTCTTGTGTTTGTGATATTTGCTCTGATAAAATAAAAATAATGTTCATCTGCAAACAACAACTAGAGGGCCAAATATTCCGTACTTGTTGTCTGGCCTCAAAATAAAATGAAAAACAGATTTGCAGTGAATTATATTACTGGTATATCAGTACTGTTGTATCCAGCCTATCTACTGTTTTAATGACATTTCCGTGCAGTCACACTGTGCCTGATTGGGCCTTTGATTCCCTACTTAGAGCCCTGGGATAACGGGATAACTGGGATAACTTGTCTGCAACAAAATCCACACTGGGGATTTAGACTTCACAACAGCAGGGATCTGGAATGTGGTGCTTTTCAAGGGTGGTTTGATTTCTCATCATCTGAGGAAGTGTTTTTCCAGAGGAGTGGGAGCAGCCAGTCTGACTTGTTCACGGCAGGATTTTAAATGCTCTCTGACGCTGACTTTGGCATATTGGAGGAGTGATTCTGATTGTGAGAGCCCTGTGTTTTTAGTGGCACTCTTCAAAGGCCTCTGCTCAAGGGTGAATGATGGAAGAGTATGTGACTCTTATACACAAGAGAAATGTGATCTTCAAACACTTTATTCTCTCTGAGCAGCAGATGCTCTCATGAATATTAAATTGGTTTATGTCAAGTATTTAAATAATATAGCCAATACTGTTAAAATGTTTAGGTATTTAAGTTTGTTTTTTTTTTTGGACTATTGACTATTTAACTATATTCACAAGTGGTACATGTTCAAAACACTTCAAGTACAAAATTCCAAACTGATTACTCTCATAACACCGCTAGTCATTCTTTAAAAATCTGGGCTCATGTTTTCATTAGTCAAATATATTTTGTTTTAAACTCTTCACACAGTTCTCCTTACCAACCTTCAGCTTAGCACAGCAGTACATTTCACATCCAAAATGCATTAAAACTACCAAAACCTAGTTGTACATATCTCAAATCATCTTTCATAATCTTTCATAAATCTTTCATAACACTAGCAAAGTTTGAATATGGAATATATTTGAATATGACATTACTATGAACATGTTGCAAATTGGTGTCTTATTCAGTTTTGCATGGAAAATGAGCCACAGTTTAGCTGACATAGATTGCTGTTGTGCTCAGAAGAGTTTGAAAATGAGACTTAAATATTTAGAAATGGGTCCTTACAATTGAAATATAGGTTAAACTCATCATGCACATTAAAAAAAATATGCTTTGTGATTTTGAGTACTGTACTAACATAATTGAAAATACGCTGAAATGTTTAAAGAGGGTGCATTTTTTGGTGATCTGTTGTGAGATTAGCAGAGATTTTAGAAAATGCACTGCTTGATTGAAATGAAATGATGAAAATAGTACCAAAGCTATTATAAAAACTGTAACTCACACTTGATAAAGATCAAGCACACAAAGAAGAAGATCCAAAGATTCTTTGTAGAAATTCACAAAGAATCAACACAGGTAACTCACTGGAGCAAAGGTAGCACACAGTCCATCAACTCAACAAACAGCAATTAAAATAACCGGCAGAGAACTGAACAAAACAGGGACGATATATAATGGGTAAATTAACAAGAAACACCTGAAACGAATAGGTAACCAAGGCAACTAATGACAAAAACAGAAACTAGGGAGACAGGAACTAAACAGGGCAAGACAACAGGAACAGAAAAAAACAACAAGTCCATAACCGTAACAGTAGCTCCCCCTCCCGGAAGGCGCGATCTCGCACCGTAAAGAGAATATCTGAGGAGGAAGGAAGCAGCTCTGGAGAAGGACATAGAGTTTGCAGAGGCCAGGACACCAGAGGAGATGATGGATGGTGAGACCAGGGAGGAGCTGATGGAGGGAGGAGCCAGGAGCAGGAGGAGCCAGATGTGGACCATAGTCTAGGCAGGAAGGAGGCCCACGGCGGAGTTGATGGAGGGAGGAGCCATGGTGGAGGTACAGTAAGGCTGATGACACCAGGGGGCCAACTGATGGAGATGGAGCCGATGGAGGAGGAGCCCAGGGCGGAGATGGAGAACTTAAGAGCCAGGGTGACACCGTGGCTCTGGAGGGCCAAGGCAGAGTTGACGGCTCGTGTGAATGAAGTGGAGGCAGGGACCCAGATGGCACTGACTGAGGGTGAGCTGAGGGCCTGAAAGAAACCAGCGAAGGCAGGGCTGAAGGACTGGCTGATTTTAGGAGAGGAGGTGGAAGAGGCTGGGCGGGAACTCAGGAGATGCAGGAGATTTATGGCTGGACGGAACGAGCGAAACCACAGGAGATACAGGGCTGGAAAGGACATACAGGGAATTAATTTCTTCAAAAACATCTGAAATTATAGCAGAGGCCAGTTGTAGCTCACCCTCACTGGCGGGAGTGTGGACGGAGCTTCTTTCCATTCCCTCATGCTCCACTAAATCTCCCTTTCACGTTCAGTCTGACATAATAGAATAATACCAATCCTCTTACTCCAGGCAGAGGAGTTTGACAGAGGGAATATCCATATCGGGAGGGGTAAAAAAATCTCTGGAATTTACTCACTATGTAGGCCGGTTATTCTGTTACACGTGTGTGCTGAAGATCAAGCGCACGAAGAAGAAGAATTTACAAAATAGTATTTTAATAGAAATCCTGAAGAATTAACACAGGTAATTCACTGGAGCAAAGGTAGCACACAGTCCATCAACTCCAAGACCAGGGCTGCGTTTCCCGATAACGGTGTCTCTTAGCGCGCTACGAAGACTAAAGATACACCTTAACTAGGGGTATACCTTTCCTAGGTGTGTTCCCCGAACTATACCTTAGGATGTTGCTTAAGGTAAACCTTCTTACGTGCGACGTTAGCAGGTGCTGTCCATGGCGGTGGTGCTGAATAGGTTGATATTGATGGCTCGAGAATCGATTGTTCACTATATACAAGAGCTCTTTCACTGTGTAAAGTATTGAGAAAGCGATGTTCATTATAAAGAAGCACTTTAGAAATATTAGAAATTGCATTTATTGGGGCTCACTGCATTTTAAAATAATCCAAATTTCAAACTAAATGCAACCTTGGATATCACACACACACACACACACACACACACATACACACACACACACACTGTGTGTGTGTATGTATGTATGTATGTATAATGTATAATTTTGCAATGTATAATTTTGCAAGTGTGCGAAACTTGGCTTCGCTTGCTTTTGAAAGGGTCATTTATATTATCATGTTCATATATATTATGAAGGCCTGGTCAAGCGCTGATGGGTTGGCGATGGGGATAAGTGTCCCGTCCACAAGGCCAATTACTCACGGGACACCCGCAATGGCATGGAAGCCTTGATGTGCCTCCATCACTTCGTGCCTGGTGAGTGTGTGTGTGTACGTTGTCCAGTATTTGATGTTTAAACAGTAAACAGTTCTATAGAACAATGTGTGTGTGTGTGTGTGTGTGTGTGTGTGTATGTATGTATGTATGTATAATGTATAATTTTGCAATGTATAATTTTGCAAGTGTGCGAAACTTGGCTTCGCTTGCTTTTGAAAGGGTCATTTATATTATCATGTTCATATATATTATGAAGGCCTGGTCGAACGCTGATGGGTTGTCGATGGGGATAAGTGTCCCGTCCACAAGGCCAATTACTCACGGGACACCCGCAATGGCATGGAAGCCTTGATGTGCCTCCATCACTTCGTGCCTGGTGAAAGGCATATAGGCTATGTAATCGGTGGCGTGACGGAGCAGGATGTTTGTGACTGAGTGAATGCACTGCCACACAAAGGTCTTACACAGCCCATATCCATCCCCAACCACCTCCAGAAAACTCCCCACAGCATAAAAATGGAAAGCCGCCAGCAGCTGAATTTCGGGGCTTAGGGGGGTAGCTCCGTCGAGTTTGCCTCGACAAAGTTGGATCAACAAGATGTAAAAGCTGCTGAATTTGCTCCCGTGGCATGCGACATTTTTGTAGAATTGTATCTTTTGACATGGCAGCTATTATGACACTATCATGAAATAGTGCACATACACTAACTGGCTCCGCGGACGCAGCCGTCTTTGATTTAGGACAACTATTCGCTGTCTCGCTGCCATAGTTTGACCAAACTCACCACCATATTCATTGCCTTTGAATAGACTCCTAATTATGTGTTGCCTAATGGTTTGCCAGCCGATGTGCCTTTGTATATTATAATGGAAAAACGAACAACCATCAGTATAATGACAGTTTTATTCTTTGCATAAAAACACTTCAATTTATTGAACACTAATTGAACACTGGGTGTATTACAACTTTAGAATTGTAATATTTATTTGGTTCTGCACTTTTTCTTGCCACAGAATTACAATCGTATCGACTGAAATGTGAAGAAGCTTTTTGCACAGTGGTGGCCACTAGCGGAGTGAACTGTGAACAGCGATGAGGTATATCTAAGAGTGGCCCAGACTAACCTTTCGAACGAATGACTTACAGAAGGTATACTTAACTAAGAACGTTTCGGGAAACACGTATTAACGTAAAGGTACAACTTAAGGTATAACTTAC